TATATATCTATATATATGGATATAGATAGATGTATAGCATACATACATTATATATGCACACATACACATATATACACATACATACTCTTTTACTTCTTCCTCTTCCTATTGTCTCCACAACAACCACCCTGTGAGGTGGGCTGGGTTGAGAGAGAAAGGAAGTGGCCTAAGGCAGGACTAGAACTTACCGTCTCCTAGTGATATGGGGCCAAAGTCACCCAGCCAGCTTTCATGCCTACAGTGGAACTAGAATTCCCAGTATTTCTATTACAATGAACCACGCACAAAAAAAATCTGAATCTTGAGAAGTTCCTACGTTGTTTTTGCTAAACTCTACACAAGGCCCCAACATCCTCATCCCCAACCCCTTGGCCAGCACGCTTTGATAAAGACGACGGGTGCTTGTTTATCTTAACTCTTAGCTCTTCTCATCTTCCCCCCCTGCCCCCATTCCTTTTCAGAAAAGATACTTAGAAGGCGCTTTCCTCTTTGCTGCCCTCCTGCACTTCAAGCACATTTACCTCTATGTGGCCCCAGCCTATGGCGTCTATCTGCTCCAATCTTACTGCTTCGCTGAAAATAATCCAGGTAACGTTGCTGACAGTTCCACACCTTGAAGGCAAAAAGGTTGGATTCTAGTACAGGCAGTCCTCAACTTACAGTGGTTCATTTAGTGACCGTTCAAAGCTACAACGGCACGGAAGAAAGTGACTTATGACCATTTTTCACACGACCGTGGTAGCATCTCCACGGTCACATGGTCAAAATTCAGACGCTTGACAACCGACTCATATTTATGACAGTATACCGGGTCACGTGATCCCCTTTCTGACGGCTTTCTGACAAGCCGAGCCAATAGGGGGAACGCCAGATTCCCTTAACATCCGTGTTACTTACTTATCAACTGCAGTGATTCACTTGGCAACTGTGGGAAGAAAAGTCATAAAATGGGGCCAAACTCACTTGACAAATGTCTCACTTAGCGACATAAAGGTTGGGCTCAATTTTGGTCGTAATTCGAGGACTACCCATATCTCCTCATGTGATCAACATTTGGGCCCTTGGCAACCGGCCTGTATCCCAGGGTCACTCCTCTGACGGTTGACCTGTCCTGAGAACATGTGATCCCACTTTTGTGACCGTCAGACAAGCAAAGCCAATGGGGGATCCAGATTCCCTTAACGGCCACGTTGCTAACTTAACAGCTGCAAGGATTCACTTAACATCTGTGGCAGGAAAGGTCGTAAAATGGGGCAAAACTCACTGAACGGCCTTGCTTTATCAAGGGAAATTTTGGGTTCCATTGCGGTCGTAAGTCGAGGATTACCGCAAGGTCTTAGTTTAGAAAGGTGGTCTGGTCTGTCGCTGGCAGGTTTGAAATCATCTATTATCATCATTCTAGCTCTCATTGTGTCTAGATGGATCTCTTCGATGGCGCAGTTTCAGTTTTCTCCGCTTAATCAGTCTGGGATTCATTGTCTGCCTTGTTTCTGCCATTTCGCTGGGACCATTTTTGGTTTGGGTAAGGAACCCCTCTCTTTATTTTTTTCCTGAAAGAATTTTTGAGAAAGTTCCTCAAGTTACGGCATCGTCAACACGCCGTTGGGAGTTGGGCAAATAGAACAAATTTGAATGAATCAATAAACATAAATAAATGCATTGAGTTTTCAAAACCAACTAACGCAAAGTAGCAATATTCCAAACATAGCAGGGTTTAAAATGTAGATCGGGGTGAGTTGCTTCTTGGTCTAAATCAGTACGGTTGTTTTATAAAGTTCGTTGTTTTATCCATGAGAATAAAATACAGAACGGTAAAACAGACAAAATGTAAGAAAATAAAAAAAAAATCATTCAGCTGTAACTACGTCAAAAAAAAGAGAAAAAAATAGCGTACAAAAAAGGAGGAAAAAGCGGTATCTTAAATTTAACATTCAACATGTAGGATCCAACCTGGTTTGAGTGCTGTGAAACAAAAGAAAAAAGCAATAAATTCTCCTAAATCAGTGTTTTTCAAACTTAATAATAATAATAATAATAATAGTAATGGTAAAGTTGGAAGGGACCTTGGAGGTCATCAAGTCCAACCCCCTACTCAGGCAGGAAACCCTATACCATTTCAGACAAATGGCTGTCCAGTCTCTTCTTAAAAACCTCCAGTGTTGGAGCATTCACAGCTTCTGGAGGCAGGTTGTTCCACTGGTTAATTGTTCTAACTGTCAGGAAGTTTCTCCTCAGTTCTAGGTTGCTTCTCTCCTTGGTTAATTTCCATCCGTTGTTTCAACCCTCAGAAGGGGTGGATGTCAGCTTGGCTAGTTGGGGAATTCTGGGAGTGGAAGTCCACACACCTTAAATACGCCACTTTTGAGGAAAAAAAACACTGATCTAAATAGAACGAAGAGAAGGTTAATAACAATTTTTCTCCAATTTAGGGTCAGCTTCCTCAAGTTTTCTCTCGCCTTTTCCCATTCAAACGGGGCCTCTGCCATGCCTACTGGGCCCCAAACGTTTGGGCCGTGTACAACTCCATTGACAAAATGTTGTCAGTCCTTGGTAGGTATCTTAATCCTTTCTGTCTGTCTGTCCTTCCATCCATCCATCCAGCCATTTTATTTGACATGGACACCACAACCTCACTTCAGTCAATTCGGGGGGGGGGGGGTTCCACAGTATAAAAATCAAAAGCAGTCATGAAGGGGCCATAGTTCCCCCATGCTGGCTGAGGAATTCTGGGAGCTGAAGTCCACAAGTCATGAAGGGCCCATAGTTACCCCATGCTGGCTGAGGAATTCTGGGAGTTGAAGTCCACAAGTCATGAAGGGCCCATAGTTACCCCATGCTGGCTGAGGAATTCTGGGAGTTGAAGTCCACAAGTCATGAAGGGCCCATAGTTACCCCATGCTGGCTGAGGAATTCTGGGAGTTGAAGTCCACAAGTCATGAAGGGCCCATAGTTACCCCATGCTGGCTGAGGAATTCTGGGAGTTGAAGTTCACAAGTCATGAAGGGCCCATAGTTACCCCATGCTGGCTGAGGAATTCTGGGAGTTGAAGT